AGAAAAATAAAAGGTTTTTCTGGTACTCAAGCCTATAATCCTTCCAGAAAAAATATTTTTATAGGTAGGTAGGTAGATAAATAACATCAATATTTTTAAAATTCATATTTTTTCTTTTAAAGTCTATACAATTAAATAAGTGTAAAATATGTGGAACAATTTTAGTTTACTTTATTTAACAAATCCTTTTATAAGCCACTACAACCTTTAGCAAGACACCACCAAAACAGTCCAACAGTATAATTCTTTAATACTACTGCTTATTAAGATACAATTATAATTACCTTCCAAAAATCGTATAGATGTTTTAATCGCCTAAAAAATGTTTCTTTATCTAGCGCTAATGACGGCATTGTAGAAACACATTCAAATTTCAAGTAACTTTAATTTTTAGTAATCAGTTACAAGAAACACAATTATTAATTATAAACACTAATAAACAAAATACTAGTTATTGAGTTATAGCGTGCCTGTGTAAGACACTAAGCATCGACATTCGACATTTCCCTCTAAAAAAACACTCTTTAATCAATTCTGTGCTCAAACTATGAGTTCTAACTAGAAATGTTATTTTACTGGTTAAAATATCAACAAAACAAAATTACGTGATAACGCTTGSAAGTTGTAGTTTCTGTACAAAATTATTATTATTATTCATGGTTGTTTGGGCAGCTATAGATGGCGCTCACTTTAGGTTCAATTTTACAGTGACGCCAACGACACTAATGTTCCATGTTAACGACGGATCTTGATATCAATTATCAGTATCTCTTCTCAATTCTCTACCAGGATGTGAATAACTTTTTCAAAAATCTTAGTTTAAAATCTCATAAAAKGACGTCGCATCCGCATGTGTTGTTTCCGTCTTACATAAGTATTACATAGMAAATTATCTTTCACTAATTTTAATATTGTACTGTTAGTTTTGATACGAGAGTGAATTGAATAAATCTCGTTGGTTTTTAATGATATTTATTTTTAAATAAGTTAGGTTCATTTTTAAATATTTATACTTAACATACCTACTTATTCTTCATTTAAAAATTTTAATATAGTAAAATGTAAAAACCAACGAGGTAACACCGATAACGTTCTTACCAAAAAGTCTAATTATGGGTAAATGCATAACACACTATTAAAACTAGCGAACAAAAATTTAATATGTATTACGTGTGTAAGACGGAGAATGGAGACACGCATAACCCAGACACGCGTATGGGTGTGACGTCCTCTTAAATTATAATCACGGACTAAGATAGATAAAAATAAGTATCGGGCAACACCTTTTAGAAAAAAAATAAATTTTCATACAAATATAGGTACTATTCCTACAAGTGCTTATTTTTTCTTTGCCAAAAATCCCCGAAGACTCAAAATTGCCTCATAAAATATAATTGATACAAAACGTGATTCTTTATGTCATGCAACTACGCGTTGGTGTCGACTATCCGGTACTCGACTGCTTGTCTCAATTATTGAACTAAATAACGTGCTCAACGTGTTGAATATTGAATAATTTATTTACATATTCAATGTTAATGACTTTATTTTACATAAACTTGAGCCCCTAAACTCCCTTATACCATCAGTGTCTGGGGCAAGAATATTCGCTGCCCCCCTAGATCCGACACAGGCATATAATATTGGAAAAAAGTACGGAAATTTTGATACACAATATATACATGTATGATGTATAACAATATGTATATAAAACTTCTGTATTCAAAAAAATCGAGAAAAA